CACTAAAAAAGTCACAGGCTTGAAAGAATAATTAAATACAGTTTCAAACACAGGCAAATGGGAGATGCACACACAGTCCTGTACATAAAAAGTCTACTTAGTAAATTTAGTGTGTAATAGACTACCTGTAGTTAATCCAGAGTTTCTGTAGTGCAGGCAAGGGATGCCCAGCACCTGTTGGTGGCCAGAGCTTTTGGTGGGCAAATGGTGGTTAATGTCTGAGGAGGGCTGCCTATCATTTTCAGGATCAGGCTCCAGTGTGAGCAATTACTAAAAACTTTTCCTTGAAAAGAAATTAACAAGAAGTTTTCTAAAGCCTCCTGCTACGTTTGCCACAATTCAGATATTGCAAGCTGTGAACCAGATTGTGCTACTCTTACATAGGTCCAATAGTATCTTGCCTACACAGTGGGGTTGTCTCTAGGGTGTAGCTCAAGGTAAATATAAAACGCCCTGTCTAGTCTGCACAGTGCAGGGTAAGGACACCATTGTACCCCCTGTCTAACCCCTGATCCAAATGTATTTGAAAAGTCTTGCTAACACTTGTTTCTCAGTTTAGGAAGCTTACAGTGTTATGGGTCCGCAACCTGTATTGTTTAGGTTCTTTTCCCATGGTTTTTTTTTTCATTTTGTATATGATGCCTACAAACGTACAAGGGAAAAGAATAAGCAAAAATTCCTGTCTGTGAAATCCTGCTCTTTGTCCAGTCTAGTAAGGAATTCCTCCTCTTGTCATAAAAATCACTATTTTTCTAGATAGGCTGTATTTATTATTTTTTGTAGCTAACTGATTTCTGTAGTTAGAGCATCATTGTACAGTGGGTTTAAGCCACCATTTCTTCAGTCTCGTGTAGCCATTCACTTCTCTGGTGCTTTAAGAAAGCCATTATTGGCAAGAAGGACAAACAGTGCTTTGGTAGCCTTTAATAGTTGCTTCGCACAAATGTAAATGGCATGGGGAAGAACAAGGAAAACCAGCTCCCATGTTTTTCACTGAGAAGAGGACTCATGGTGGTTCTTAACATAGAGGGGAAAAAACCTGCTCATGAGAGGACACAAAATTCTCCATCCAGAAAACCATTCCTGTCCCCAGCCCCCAGCACGTCCTGAAAATGTCACTCAGAAGCAACTCTGCAACTTTAACATCCAAATATTTCAGTTCCATTTTGAGGTAATCAAATTTGTGACTCTTTATTTTCATTTCAGATTTGTCTTACTTAGTTTTATTAAGGTTTTGATTTTTTGAGATCATCTTCACTTTAATTTTTCACTGATGTTTTCATTACCGTGTGAGCTGCTTTTAAAACTCAGGATGAAGAAATGCTTCCCTTGCCTTAAAAGCTCTTGCCCTGAAGGATTTTACCTTAACAGATACCTCAGATGCTGCTTAGCTGCAGGTTTCAGTCACTACAATCCAGGGAGCAACACTCAGATTTTGATTCTTTCAGTATGAATGTTTTTTTCTGCTTCTCCTCTGAGACTATTTGAAAAAAAAAGTCTGTAATAACAGCAGCTCTCAAACCAAAGAGAAAGTCTTTTCCCTTACCTAGATGACATACCACATCATACTATATCTGTCACTAGCACATCTTTGCTGCCCCGTCTCTGCAATGCCTCCAGGATGATACGCTTTGTGATTAATTGGATAAAGAGCAGTCTCTCCTCACCTCAGAGTATGGGAGTAAAAATAGGCTTAGTGTGGAAGACGCCTCTGAAACAGGGTGGTTTTTTGGTCTCCAAAGTTATTGGGGCTGTTCTGCAAGAAAGGAGACAGCTGGGGTTTTCCTGCATACAGGTGTGCACTGTTGGTATTGTTTCCATTTCAAGGTGACGTATCATACGTAAAGTAAATCGAGATGGTCATGAGGTGACAGGCGGACATCTCACCTGGTTTCCTAAGGAAATGAGGTCTGCACAATAAGCACGGGAGTCGCTGTCTGCCCTCTTCCAGTAGCTTTGAGTCTACTTTCCAGGTTCAGGCAAATTTGAACTGAGGTTCATAAAAGCTTAATGAAAGCAGGCAGCTGGGTAAAGAGGATAACTGTGTTTTCCCAGAGAGGGAAAGGAGGAGCCCACTCTGTGTCACGTACCAGGGAATCCACGTGGGGGAGAGCTCTTACCCCAGCTTCAGAAGCAGGAAAAGCTTTGATCAGTGCTTGCCTCCAGAGAAGCCAGCTGCAAGACGCAACGCTGTGGGAAGGCAGGGTTCATTGCCGCACGGCAAATACATCTCTTGATTTGGCTTCGTTCCAGCCGGCGATCTGCGCGGGTGAGCGGCAGGGCCTCAGCCACCCCGCCACCCCACCACCCCACCCCCCCGCCACCCCGGCTCCGGCAGCCGCCCGCTCCCACGGCGGGGTCAGGCTCCGGTGCCAAACGGGCTGGTCCCTGCCTGCTTCTGCTCATGGGGAGAGGCTGGCCGTAAGGCACAGCGAATGCTTCGTCTCACAGCCTGGCTAGGTGGTGATCTGTAAAAACTGCACTTAACTGATCAGTGGCGCCGGCTTCCTCCCTATCTCTGTACGCGAAGAAGCACTTAGGCAGAAGGGCAGTCCTTTAAATCACAGGGAAAGGACACACTGCAAGCACTCCTGCTCTGAGGAGAGCTGCTCATGCTGATGCAATCCTGGCAGCTTCTGGTGTGCTGCACGGACACTATTTTATCTTTACTTTTAATGGAAGGGATAAAGTAGAGTAGTAATAATGGGACTGATAAATGAAAGGAAAACTGTAACCACATAATTATGTCAGAATCAACTAACAGCCATGAAAAGCCGATTAAACCACATTATGCAGATACATGTAACAGAATACTATTAGTAAGTCCTTTGCAATGGCACGCCTGGCAATTAAGGGAGCAGTATTGGCAGCACACAGTGAAAACAGTGATAATGTATAGTTAAAAATGTTTGGAGACAAACAGTGCATGGAGTACAGGGACAGCCTAGAACTGAATACAGGAGTGTCCTCAAAGATACCAGCGCCCAGGGGAAGAACCAAAGATGTTATTCCAAATAGACATTTTGACTAGGATGTTGGGCATAGCTTGGAGTAAATTATATTTATCATCAAAATTAATTTACTGGCTTATCCATAAATGAAAGGCTGCAGTGCAGCAAGTAGTCTGTATTTTCCAACCGTCCACAAATTCCAGGTTGAGCAGGCTAATGCAGGAATTCCCTTTTTTTCTGAATTAAAGGCAGCTTGCAGAAATATTCTGATTTAGGCAGTAAGAATATTAGGTAATGTTCCTGTGGTTGCAACTATTCAGTAAATATTTGGTAATAAGATTGCTCGGTGTTGTATATTCTTATGTATGTGGTATTTCCAGGTTGGGGACCTGAAGAAGGTGTCACCCATCAAGTTACTTTCTCATTGGAGTACTGGGATCTGTTGTTTCCTCTCACCCACCATAGAAAGAGAGTGGAGGTTCAATTCTACCCTTTGCTTCCCTTCCTCTGCCCACTCTCGCAGAGCAGTTCTCATCTGCAGTCAGGGAGAATTGCGCAGGAACAAGCTCTGAGATAACACTTAGTGTGGGGTTCAGAGTTCCCACAGGCTTTACAAAAAAATACACTCCTGCCAGAAACTACTCCATGTGACTGTGGAGATCTCATCTAAGGGAATGAAACCAGAGGGGATTTTTTTTGGTGTCAAAGGATGAGCATGCTGGAGAGTTAGTACTCCCCTTATTTTCTTCATCATGCCAGGCAGACTTCAGAGACATGCTACCAAGACAGTTTGCTTGCAGAAAACCAGCATGGATCTTTTAAATATTTATCCTACATACTGTTTTCCAACAGATACATGCAGGTTTTCTTCTCGGCTTTATTTTTGGAGATGGCTGCACTAGCGTGAAATGCAGATAATGAGAGGTCAATAGCGTCCGTGCCCACAGCAGTGCTCTCCTGAGCTGTTATAAAGCAAAGGAAGGGAGAGAGCGTGTGTGTGGTTACACTTTTATTACAGAAGCCAGGCAATACATTTATAAATTAAATTCTGTCAACAACTTAAGTACTAGGGATGTGCAATTAACAAAATCTCTGCAAAACCAAGATTTATGATGACCAGGAGACATGCCTTTACTTAAATGGAGAAGTGAGACTGTGTCCATAGAAGGTTAAAGCATTTAATTGTACTACAATGTCTATATTTACTTGGGTTATTTTTCCTCATACTTTGAATGTGAGAATGTTGATGCTTACAGAGTACTTTTCATGAGAGAAGAGTATCATTACCTCCATTTTTATATGTGAATAAATGGACACCCAGAAATTTGGAGTACCATAGGTGAGGTACAATACCATAGCAATGGGGGAGTTAAGAACCCAACCTTTTTGTGTCTTAGTTGGGTATACTATATACTGGATTATGCTGGATTTAATAGCACAGTAAATTTAGATACTAATAGTATTAAACACCTGTTTTGTCATCCTTTTATTTGAAGCTTGAGCATCATATTCCTTCTCCAGCAGAAAAGTAACTTGAGTCCATTTCTTTCACCTTTTCCAGAACTCAGAGAAAACAAATTGTTTCTGAAGAAACTGCCACTGGTAGCAGTGTGTGCTCCTACATCATCCAGCAGAAAGGATGTTTTTCCTGTAAAGAAAATAATATAAAAATAATAAATAAATAAAAACCACTCTAGCCAAGAGCAGTAAACTTTGGGCAACACCTATGACAAAATCAGTGCCTATGACAAATAGGTTTCACTCCTAAGTTGGGTCTGTCCGTAAGGTGTGTTGTATTCTATCAGGACATGTAGCTCTGACATACACTGAACATACAAACCCTGTTACAGCTTTTGCCTGCTCTTGACTTTGAAGAGGTAGCTAATGTGTTTGCCTTTAAAATAATGTTCTTGTAGTCGACAGTACTACCACTGAGCTCGAGGCAGGCAACTGGAAGATACCCCTCAGACACTCTTACGTTCTTGCTGCATACTTCCACAGATCCATCAGCCAAAATATCGCTAACGATATGAACTTTTAATTTCACAGATGAAGGAACTTGGCGTCATCGTATACAACTGTAGCTGCCTGGTCCTGGATTTACAAAGGATATTTGCCCTGTATAGCTCATTAAGATACAAGAATAAAATACCTCCGAGTTGGTCTAAGAGACTATATGGAGTGTACGATACTCAGAATAAACTGACACTGCAGCTGAATGAGACAAAATCAGAAGCTTTTGTGTCGGTAAGTTCTGAAATGAGTTGCAGAGAGGGAGGGAAGGGAAGAAACTTATTTAACCCACCAGATTTTTGGAAGACTGGGAAATTTAACATCTGCTTATTTGCCTAATGTTGTCCTTTATGAACTACAGAGTAGTGAAACCAGGTTAGGTAGGTGTTAGTAGCATCTATGAAAGAATCTCAAGTGTCTTTTCGCTGATATAGAGATGTTCACAGTTCCCTGCAGTAAGTCCCTCATAACGCTGTGTTCTCCCTGACAGATACTGTCAGGGAGAAGTTACCATGGAACGTGATTTCCGTGAATAGGAACATATATGGTGTCAATTAAGCCTATACTTAAGTATTTCTCTGAACTGGCCCTAACTGAAGAAGATGCACATTACCGCTATGTCCTTAACCAAAAGCAGCTACTAAAATTGAGATTCATGCAAGTGACTGGAAAGTCAACTATAGAGATAAGACCACTACAGCATCACCTACACAAGACAGAACTTGTTGGATAGTTTCATAATGCCGGAAAACCAAATCATTCTGTTGTCTGGGAAAACGATTATTCCAATAGGTATACTTTTGTGGGGAAGTCTGTAACTGAAAGGTGTTTAAAAAGTTACTTGCCTTTTTCTGTGGTCCAGAACAGACAAATCACAATATATTTTTTCTTCATTCTGATTTCTGTGATATTGTTCTTACATGCAATTTGTCGGGACTGAAGATGCTGAAGGATTTCATTTGAGCGTTATTCTTTTTCCCTTTCTCTGTAATGTTCACCACTTTTCCTCTTGTGTTCAAAAAATAGTAGGGAGACCCTTCAAATTAGGTTATTTATTTACATGAGCAGATAGAAGGTGAATGACTTGGGAGTAAATGATCTGTTAATCAGACATCTAAAATGATACAGAATAAGCTTGATATCAGAGCTTGCGTTTTTATCAATGTAATGTATACTGATTAATCCTTTTCACCCTGTTCCATTGAAAGCATTCATACTTCTGTAGAACATTATCTACTTTAGCTTTAAACGGCTTTTTAAAACTTCTAAAATTCAAGCAGCAACCCCCGTGGAAGCACTATCTGGTGTGTGTATTTTGAATGGGAAGAAACGGAGCAGTCCTCCATCTAACCAGTGATGTAGCAAAACTGGAAAAAAGTACACAGAGCAATAGAGATGATGAAAGATGTGGAGTGTCTTTTCATTTTGGAAGTAATTACATTGAGTAAAACCAACCCCTTCAAAATCAGGAATATAATGAAGCTGCTAAGAGTTATTTACCATTCTGTATAAAACAAGGGGCAAAACCTCATTGCTTTATAACCATGTCTAAAACAACAGAAGGCACGTACCACGCTGTTAAGTTGTACAGCCACTAGCACAGGATGTTGGTGCAGGTGAGTGGTTGGTTATACAGGGCAGGGTTTACCTTCCCCTGCTGGGAGCCAGGAGACATTCAGGTGTCCAGGATTTTTCACACTCCTACAATCACTGGAGAGACAGAGAGCTATTTTGGAGTGAAAATCTGGAAATGCCTAAGACAGCCAGAATTAATAGCTATCTGAAGAGACATACGCTTCCATTGCTTCTGGAGAGTCTTAAGGACTAGCTTAAATTAGAGACTGCCTTTCAGACAGTTAGCTAAGGAGCTGTGAAATGAACTCCAACTCCCTTCTAAGCAATCTGTAAGAATTGGAGAAATCCTGCTGAAAGCCACTCCTGAAGAGACACACAGTAAGGAAAGCTGGGTAAGGCCAACTTTCAGGAATCTGGGATCTGAGACAAAGAGATGTGGAGAAAGGCTCTACAAAAACTGCTCTTCTGCAGTTTGCAGAACTGCTCACTTCCTCCCTGTGATTTGTATTTCCTTTTGTGTGGGCAACAAAAGCCTCTCCTCTTGAAATTCCACTTCAGAAAACAAAAGGAAGGAGTCACAGGTACTCAGAACCTCAGGCCAGGGAAGTCCAACTCCAAGAGCTACCTGAATTTGCAGCCACAGCCAGTTGGGCTGGTTCATCCTTCCTGAAAACACGCTCTTCAACAAATTTCTCACCTACTAGCAAATTCTCTGTGTTTGCCAGCATGCCCCTCCGAAAGGCAGTCCTGGAGTTGCACTGGCCTCGTTTGGTGGACCAAGTGTTAACATCGCCGTCTGTTCCCGAACTAGTAATGATAAGAAGAAAGTCTCTGCAGGCCAGGCAGCTGCCTGTGCCGGGGTGCTGGTGCTGCCCCTGGCCGGTGCTGTGCCGCTGCCTCCCTTTCGGTCCGGGACAGCACAGCCCCTGAGCAGGGGCACAGCAAGGTACTGGTGCCCAGGGAGAACAAAGGCCTGTTTCTGGTAGGTGAAGAGACATATCAAATGTGTATTTGGTCAGAATAGCAAGTACTATACGACTAATATGGAGAAAAGTACTAAAATATTCTATGACCGTGGAGTGGGGGTCAGCCGTGCCACAGGGTAACAAGTGCAATGTCCAAATACAAGTGTTACGGTGAGAGCTTTAACAGACGTTTTTCTTCTAATTATCTGCTAAATGTCTTTCACTTTCTGGTCCTTGTCTTTCTCAGATGCATGCAATATAATGCATAAGAATTCCTTTCTTTAGCTGCTCTGTAACTTAAAACTTCTATTCAAGAAAATAGTAAGAGTGCAAGAATAAAATCTCAGTGCAATTGACTCTTATAAGTTTCAGATAACAGACATAAATTATATCTAACAAAACCACTTTACACTTTTTCTTGAGTTGAAACTCATTCTTTGAAAACGTATTTCACTTTCAATGTTCATGCTGTATAAAACAAGCATAACACACAGTCATTGAAATTTTTTGTTAAATTCAGGAGTCATGGCTTAGTGTTGCTTAGCAACAACATCGTCTTCCAGACAGGCTGATAAAATGTAAGAGGTTTCCGTTGTTTTTCTTAGTGTTCAGGAATGGATCTGCAATATTGGTCCTGAAATCTTGCCACAGTTAATTTTCTAGTATCTTCTGAACTTAGTTGTAGTAAGTCCTTAAGAACACCAGTCAATGATTAAGAAACCACTGTGACAGGCATTGTATTGAAGGGAAAAAAACCTAATCAACCCCCCAGGGTCTGTCCCTAAAGAAAACATACTAATCTAGACGTCAGCTGCAACCCAAGCAGGTAACAAAGATGAGAAGGCGATACAGCAGCAGGAAGGCAGGGGTCTGTCAGGGCCAGCGGTTAAGGCCAAGCGGCACCCGCTCCAGCTCCATGAAGTGCCTTTAACAACCTCTACTCCCAGGAGCTCTGGTGTTGCCTGCGAGCGACCTGGCAGGTGGCTCCACTTCTCTCTCCCTGCTCAGGCAGGAGAGCAGAAAGTCCTGGGCCTCTGCCACAGACAGGTGATTCCTGCTGGCTTCACCTTGCTGACTGACACATTCCACAGCCCTAGATACAAGGCAGAAAAGCTGAAATCTGGGCTTACTGCTTACCGGCTCAGTGCCAGGCAGAGTTCATTTGTAGCTGAAGCTAGGTTTTAGAGATAAGTTTCGTGCAAAACTGCAGCATCTCCCTGCGACAGTGACTGAGCAAATGGTGACTTTGCATGGAACTTTAAACAGAACTGACATAATAGACTTAATTCCTGGTCACAAGTGATGGATCAGGCTCATGTGGCAAGAACACAGATATTACTCCATCTAATAGTAACCAGTCCTGGGACTTGTTGGAACAAAATTCTCTGAAATGTAACTTTAACTAGAGCTTCTGTGATGACAGTGGATATTTTGAAGTTTGTCTTCTGCATTTTACCTACAGTTACATCTAAATGGTGAGGCTTTCAAGGGGAAATTAAGCAAATACCTCTCCTTTGTACATTTGAGTGTTCTAGCAGGACAGTTGAATGTATCAGTTAATATTCTCTACTAAAATAAACTACTTGCCATCTCAAGAAGAATGAGAGGAAGAGAAAATAAATCACATATTTTAAATGCCATATTTGAACTTTTCCTTTCACAGAATTCACCTAAACTCTTCTGCCCAAAGGACAGAGTCCTGGATATTGAAGCTATATACAGTGTTATCGATGATGCGAAACAGTTTGTATACATAGCTGTCATGGACTACTTGCCGATCGTCATTGACACCAATGCTAAACGGTGAGTGTCCATGTCCAGGACTAGCAGGTTATCATAATGTCAATAAGGTTTGCTGGAGAAAATGAACCCACAGGAGATTAGTTACTACTGTGGACCAATTTCTTGGGGCCCAATTCTGCTCTTATTGAAATCAGTGAGAGTTCTGCCATTGACTTAAATGGGAGCAGAATTGGGACCTAAGAAGACATTTCCAGTTCTGGGTCCTAAGCTTTGGATCTGCCTATCGAAGGAGATCAGAAATTGTCTAATCTGACCATCTCTAAGTCACTGGGACCCAGGAATACAAGAATCTGCTTACACATGCATCCTATTTCTTACACAATTATATTCACTACACTGATACCACAGCTACTGGCATTTTACAAGTATCATATAGATATTCAACATGACTGTGTGTGTGTGTGTTAAGAGAGAAGTAACATGTTATGAGTTCTCATATAGAACGTGGGAGATGTTATTATTTTATTGAAATGTACATATACATGAAAATTTCAAATTCATCATGGATTACCTTTGAATTATATTACATTTTGGTTAACTGGGAGTTTCTAAAAACAAAGAAAACCAAGTAATTTTTAAACACCCTGTTTGTATGCGCCATTAAAAAGCATGCATGACCCGAAACTGGAGCCACAGTGTAATAAAACCATCCAACTCACAAGGCAAGTATCCAGTGGTCCCTCCAACTTGATAACACTCATAATGAACTGAGAATCTAGCAAAGCTTGCCATTCCATCCATGCACTTTATTTGAACACAGTTAAGCCAAACTAAACATGTGGTTATGTCCTTTTTTCCAGTTTTGCATAATTAAAGATGTTTTGTTCAGATCTTTCAAAAAGTAACTATCATTTGACTGATATCAAGCATAAGCTGTTTCAAGTCTACAAGAGGGTTTTTCCAACAAACTTACTATGTACAGCCTCTATCAGTGAAAGAATCATGGGTAATGCTGTAGGAACCTCAGTTTCACAATATGCATCCCTCGCCTTTCTCTTTTATGCTGGAAAGGATCTTAGTGTGTAGAATCATTACAGTGTTGCAGCTCATGCTATCTCCTATACTCCTCCTTACTTTGTTCTCGTGCCTGAAGAATTCAGAAATCTGCTGGATTAGGGAGATCCAGGGAAGCTACCTGTGTGAATTCTTCAACATTTTTCCTATGGCATGGCTTTTTTTAAGGCACTGCCACACTTCTCTACCTTGTCAGCTCCCAGTTCTCGCTTGCAAGTTATTTTCTGGCATTGTAGAGCTCAGATTTCATTAGGCCAAATGCCTTGATGCTGCTGGAATAAAGAAAACATGCATTTTCTTTGCCTAATTCTCCCTGTCCTGACCTGCTCCCACCAAAGGTCAGAAACACAAAGCTTAACTAGCGATTGTGAGAATAGTACCGTGGAAGCCACCATCCCATTCATGGCAGAATTTCTGCAATCCTCATCAGGAAAAAATGTAGCATACTCCTTGAACGACCCATCTTCATCTGCTGCTGAAGGATGCAGGCACCCCGCAGAGCTGCAGCTCTTGTTTTCCCAAGCAAGAAATTACAGAAGGCATTCCAGTCCCCAGCCTGTATGGTCCCAGCACAGAGGAAAAAAAGGATGGCAGTCAGGGAGAGATCCCGTGTTCCTGTTTCCTTACTTGCGTAACCAACAGAAAATCCTTCTTGTCCCTCCCTCTGGGCTGGGTAAGAAGCACCCTCCAGCTGTACCTCATTCTGCTGGTTCCCTGGCACCGCAAGAGCTCCACTGCTCTCACCACAGGCACTGACACAGGAGTAACTCTCCCAGCTATGGGCAGACCAGGTACCTGTATTTCATGCAAATGTTTTGGCAGCTCTCAGTGCACCTACACAGATGGAAGATGTGCTCAACCATCCACAGCCTCACTGTCTCCACAGTGACAGTTTTGGTGCAGGGCAGAATGACACAAAAGAGGATCTGCTGGCAGATCTGTTTAGTGAGAATCCTTTTGAATGGGAACGGCATTCCTTCAACAGACAGAAAATGAAATTCACATGGGTTTAGTTTTCTCTATGATGTCTAGACTTGGCTGCATAAAAATCTGAAATTTTTTTAAGTTCTCTGAATATATTGTATTCTTTCTCCACAGGTACTGGCCATATTTAGACGGGAAGATCAGAGAAGCGTTAGTTTTACGAAGTATTAAAGTACGACTTCTCATAAGTTTCTCAAGAGACACAGATCCCCTTACTTTTAACTTTGTTTCATCTCTGAAAGCTATTTGCACTGAAGTTCCAAGCTGTAGTTTGAAAGTTGTAAGTATAATCCATATTGCTTTGAAATTTAAGATATTTCCCACCCCCACCCCCAAAAAATCAAGAAAGCTTCACAACTGAGAAGTGGGTTTAGTATCAAAGCCTTTATATTTCATTAAATAACATAGGAAATGTAATATAATGAACTGAGTGTATTCCTAGTAGTAATACACGTCGAAATTAAGACAGAAAAATAGACTGATGCCAAAAGGCAGTCTGTGTGGTGGAGACCCCATGTAAAATACTACATCTGGTGTTTCAAAGCAAAGCTAACGGAGTGAACCGTAGTCCTATGTCGTGTTTATACTGGCTCGTAGGGGTAAATATGACAGCACAAAAATGTGTTTTAGTCTGGATTCATGTAACCTTAGCGTTCAGCTGTGTAAGTATCTATTTTTACTTTAGTCAAGTACAAAGTACAAAAAAAAATAATGAAGATTTTACATTAAATTCAGAATTGTGAAGACTAGAATAAGCATTATGTGACCGCATTAGACATGCAATACAGGAAAGTGAGAAATACCATATATGTTATATTTGTATTACAGAACAGAGTACATGGTAAGTACTACTTTCACTTTGATGAACTTCATTTTTATGAAATTGAGGCATGCTGGATCAATTTCTTTGGGGTTTTTTTTTGCAGATAACTGTCTTAAATAATCTGCTAAATTATTTTGACTACTTGAATTGATAATCCACTGAATCACTTTGGCTTTTTAAAATCGTAAAATTGACAACAATTGTAGAAACAAGTACTATTTGTGTTATACACACTAAGTGCTATTTATGCATATATAGAAATAGGGATTTTTGTTGTAACGTACACTGTTATTACAAGTTTCCTAGGTAAGAAGCAGCATAAAGTGTGTTTTTTAAGTCAAAACCACCATACATGGCTGACACTGCTTAAGCCACTTCAATTTTGAGTACCTTCTAGCTTGTTCCATATTTATCATCAAAATCCTGTTTATTTGTTCAAAATTTTTTTTTTTTTGAGTGGCATCTAATGCTCTACATACTGATATCCATTTCCACCTATTTACAACAGGTAAAATCTTTAGTATAGAATTTATCATCTTGTCAAGAACTAAATGCTAAAAGGAAAAAAATATATTTCTAGACATCTATTCTAGGTAGATAGTCTAGCTAGAATATCTGCAGTTAGAAAACACAAATAGAACTTCCAGTAAAAAACTGAGACCGGCCTAGATTTAAATAGTTGTAAAGGTACAACACACCTCAGTTACCTCTGTGCTGGTCATCACGTGTTCCACATACCGGGTAAGTCACTGCCTTAAATAAGCCTTGGTATGAGTAATACTAGTATCTATTTGATTTTGGCTGAAACTGTGCCACAGGCTCCGCCACAACACTCCTTTACTTCACAAATCATGTCAGATGAGCACTGTTTTTTTTAAAATTGCATTTCTTTTGTATTCATCTGCTCTAGCCAGGATCAAAATGAAACAGAACTACGTGTGTGTATGGGGTAGAAGGAATAGGCTAACAAGATAAAAATTAAACTTAAACCTTTTGAATTATTGGAAAATTCTGCTTTTCCCTTTTGGTTCTGCTTTGGGCATGAGAAGACATAAAGTCAAAGTAAACTCTGTACAGAAAACACTGTCATGCAGACATGTATTGTACGTGTGTGTTTATACACAAGAACACCGAAATTTTAAGAGAACCTTAAGTTACAAACTCTGATTGAAAATATACTTAAAATTGCTAAGCTGTGTAATGGCACACCCTCCCCCTTCTTCTGTTCTCTTGGGGATAATATACCTGAGTCCTACGAAGCATGTTCGGTAGCTTTTTTCTCTCATTTAGCTTTTGATCCCTGTGATGTGCCTTGTTGTGATTGTTTTTTTATGCCTACGGCAAGACCACTTTGGCTAGGAAGTTTCCAGCAAGTGCTAGTGGCTTGCTGCAGCTGCAGGGTACGCTGTTTTGGCAGTGGCAGCAGCCTGAGGTACGCAGTCATCTTGGAGAAGGCTGTGCAGATACAGTTTCTCTGTTAGATGGGAATCTCTTCCCTATTTCCCCTGGTCTCTGACCAGGCTAATGGAAGTTTTGGTGCTAACTGCAAGTATATAGTTAGAAACAGGGCACTGCAAACCTGTTAACCCTAGCAGTGTCCTGATCAAAACCAGCCACCAACCTCTGTGCATATAATTTTTCACTCTGCTACTGAGGTCAGGAAGGCAGAGCCTGCAAGACATGATTTCCTAGTTGCTAACACTGAATTGTAAGAGTGTGCTCTATCTAGAAGCAGGGTTTTTTCCTTTTTTGCCATAAAACTTTGATAATACTGGGCAATTAACATCACCAATGCAGTCAGAAAACGCTTAGTCTCTCATTATGCATTCCTCAGCATTTCACTGAGTCCAGTTCACATCAGCATTAATAATTATTGCATTCAACTGAAACTGCTTTGAGAGTGCAAACTCAATACAAGGACTCTGAAGAAACAGTCACTGGGAAGAAGTCACGTGGAAAAAGCTTTGTTTGAGGACTAAATACATGCTGTAAGCACACAGCCAAATGTCAAGGAGTAAACTGCATACCAAACTGCTCATTTGGGGAGCTCTGTCCTATGCACTGAACCACATGCGGTCATGAAACTGAAGCTTGAATCATAAAGGGTAAAGTCGAGGTGAAGAGCTCACCATTGTGCTTCTTGGGACCTTAATTCCAGTACTCCTTAAGTTTTGTGGGCTTGACCATGTAAATATGTCTTCTGTGCAAGAATGCTCAGTCTAACTCTCAAAGGAGCAGTCAAAAGGGCCCAGCTCTGTTGGGTGCAGTGCTGAACAGAGAAAGGTGCAGGTTTTTGAAGGGCCCACAGAAAGCATGAACTAGAACAAAATGTCTTTAGACAACTGGAGACCAGGAATGAGTGGCATGGAACAGACGTGTATCTACAGCCCAAGTTGTTCTTGAGCCTCCACCTGAATCTATTTTTGAGTTGTGCAGGTATATTCCTGCTAAGGTAAGAGTAAGGAAAAACTGAACCTTTCACTAATTCTCAGAAAGCCAGAAATGCCCTACAAGTAAACAAAGTGTTATGAATTAACTATGAAACCTTTGTTCCTAAGCACTAACTTAAAGCTCTAAACTCCTAGAAGAAGGATGGAAAAGATTAATGAAATGTTAGCAGAATGTGGTATATTACTAACACAGTACTTCTGCTGAAGGCGCATGTTGGAGAACGTTAGGCTGTGCTACTTAATGCCAGTGCTGGTTCCCTTGCTCATGTAAGCTCCATTCGTGTATTCTGTTTGTGAGGGCAGATGGGTTTCCCTACTGCTATCTGTATTGTCAAGGAGTTAACGGCTCCTCTGCTGTTGCTGGAGAACACATTACATTTTCAAGCCTTCTATCTTTTCCTGCCTGAATCTGAAATTTTCTCTCTTACAAAGTTATTATACAAACAGAACACTATGTATGATTTTTTCAATTCAGCATATCTGCTGAATCTATCTCAGTTTGACAACTCTAAGCTTACACAATTACTGTGCTTGGCTATTTTTACATCAAGGTACGTAACTTTTTGCTACATCTCATAACATTAGGAAGAAGATAGGGTGTTATGTTTTGTTTCCTACCATTGAATACTTTACCCATTTGCCAGTTTTAGACTATTCCCTACAATATTAGTGTTAGTCACACAGTATCTTCCACATCCCTGTGAAAAGTTACTGTCAGTACCCTTGATGGGCATCCTACGGCTGCTAACTGTCTCTGTTCCTGTTTTGTTGCGCCAGGGAAAACATGACCATTTTCTTCTGGCTTTATCCAAAAATTCAAGACCTGTTCAGAAAGATTCAGATCCATCTCTAGCTTCTTAAGTACATACTCTCTGTGTGGGTGCGTGTTTATGGAGCAGCTCCTCAGGCACACACTTGCAGTCTTGATGTTGGCTAAGAACTAACCCCTAATATCTAGTAAACTTTCCTTTATAGCTGCTAAGATGGTTTATTTTAATTTTTTAACAGTGTAATGCTGTAATTGTTAGTGATGTTAAAAATCTGTAATTGAAAGTATGATTTCTCCATGCAGCTTAGTTAGATGTGAATATACAATATGAATCTCATTTAAAGGACAGATACTACAGTTTTACACAGAATAATCTTTTTTAATGCCCTTTATAAAGCAATCACTCAAACAGTTTGGGTTGTTGTGCTTGGTTTTAAATTAAAAAAAAAACCAACTATCTTTGGAATTTTGCTAGTATTTGAACTCATTGCAAAAATTAAGCTGTGGAAGATAACAATGCCACGTACAGGTAAGCAAGGATGCGGCAACATACAAAATTCAGAGACTGTTTAAGGAAACAACTTTGTGATAGTTATTGATCATAAAACTGCGCCACAGTACCATCCAGTATTTGGGCACTGAAAATACGCAAACTCTTTGAATTTTATTTCTAATGCACTAAAAACCTGCTTCAGTTCTAATAAACTTTCATCGTTGTGGGGAGGGGGTGCGTCAGTCCAAGAACAGAGACTCTCCTCAATGCTTGAATCAGCAGGACCCTGAATTAGCCTTGTATTTTACACAGAGTTCTTCCAAGGAGTTTTGGTACAACCTCTGACAACATAAAATTTACCCCAATATATTTTCTAGTGGGGAAGAGAGAGATTCTGACAGAGTCCACAGCATAAAGTGTTAGATAAACAGCAGTCTCTGGGCTACTCTGCCTTTCTGTCTGCAAATAAATAATTTCCATTAGGTTTGGTAATACTAATTGCAGATAAGCCCGTTCAGAACTTGAGTTCTCCAAGGAAAACCAAACTGTAATGATCAAGACTGATGATTAAGAAGAGAGATTTTTTGAATGAGTATTTATATGCAGTTCTGAAGAAACCAGTGGTATAAAACCTAAAGCTGGCGTTCCTGGTAATCAGTAACAACACATTTTGCAATAGTCAAGCAGTTTACTGCAAACCAGCTTGAAACCTACCTACATCATCAGCTGGGTAAAGAATGCTTTATAAAACTAACTGCCTGTGTGCTATGTGTACACCCTTATTTGATTTAATCAAACTGATGATGTAGTCTACCACAGAGATCACTACATCTCAGTAACAAATATAGTATTTTACAGTTGGGTTTTCAAAGTTGTAATATTATTCTGAAAGACGTCTCCCTAACCTAAAAGGATTCATTCAAGGTTTGTATCAAAAAGATCACTAGTTCAAGAGATGAATTTTGCATTATGGAAAACAGACCCACAAGAACGATCAAGAAGTTTTGGGGTGGTTTTTTTTAAATACTATTTTTCAATGTCTTAAGGGGGTGCAATGTATAGCCAGCTACTTTCACCAGTAATATACTGTGAGTTAGGTTTGTTCTGAGGATCTACACCATCACCTCAATCAAAGTTTCCCAGTCATGCAGTAAATCTTTAACTTCATCATCTTATTCTCTACTTCTGGTTTTGGAATCTGCGTCTAGCTATTAGTTTCCTTGATGAAACAAACAATATTCAGATTTGTACTGAAAATCTCATTTTTGTCTTGCACTGATGCAGACAAGGAGTGCATGTGGCTCCAAAATAAATTAAAAAAAAAAAAAAAAAAATCTAACTTTAGACTTTACCTTTAGGGTAAAAAAGAAGCACTTTCCTCTTGTTGTCTGGTAAATTTGACCTCTCCAGATCAGATTTAATCCTGAGAAGTTTCTAAGTTTCTGAAATCAGCAAGTTTCCTGGTGGAAACTATGCAATGTGTAATACAAAGGTATTAATTCAGCTGCTGGTGTACCTGCCAATCCGGATCCTGAAGCAGACTTCAAACCCCAATGTCCCTTGATGAATGAGGAAATTATCTAAAGAAAAATTCCTGGCTCTTACCATGCAGCACATGAAGACTGGGGGGGGAATGTTCATTTCATAGCCTTTACTACTTGGCACTGTATTGCTTTTAGTATTCAGTAGCCATATAGTTTGTACAGTTCAGAATGCCAAGGCATAGTATCACAAACTATGAGAATTTAGTAAGAAATACAACGTGCTGTGTTTTATTAAAATTAATGCTTGGCTATAAAAACTCAAGTTCTCTTTTCTGTAGCACTAACTCATTTTCAATGAAGAGTAAAGAACAGACCATATTTTTTCTGTCCATTATAAAACAGTTCTCATTAATCTGCACTCCATTCTATTTTATGGCAGAAATTCTTTGACCTTGAGGAAGAGAGTGCATGCTTTCTTAAAGAACAGAAGAACACTTCCCTTCCCAAATTAAATCGTAACAAATATATGGTGACTGATGGAGCTGCATACATTGGTAAGTAAGTAACCACATCTCAAGAAATTCTGGTTTCTAGCCAAAAGCCTGAAATAACACCCATTTGTAAATGAGGAATCTACAGCTGATATGCTTAAGTTAAAATAATAGTTCATTTCTTTGGGAACCTAGATGAAAACTGAGCTTTGAGCCTCTTCTCATTTAAAAACTTCTTCTATCTATGAATCAGTTTTTCAAAAGCAACGTTCAGTATTTAAAAACAGACTGAAAACACAAACACAACACACGTTATGAAGTAGGAATAAATTGGATTATTAACATAAGATCTTGTTTCTGCAATCCAATGAAGATGGACTGTTCTCCATTTCCTCCCATGTTACTACTAAAGCTGTGGTCAATCCTGGTAAAAACTGTATAAATGCCTTTCATCTTCTGAAGTCTTATTCCATTTACTCTAATTTCAGATACCCTCCTAACATTAGGTACGTATCTAACTGGTATTTTGGGCTGAAGGTGCATTTAAGTAAAGTCGCTGTATGGCTCCTAGCAAAAGTTCATCAGTCAAATGCTCACTGAATGCAGTCTAAAAACTGCCTTTAAAAAAAAATCTAGCTGCTTGAGCTGCGTGAGCTGCAGGATCAAGAAACTGCTACTGAATTAAAAAGTAACTCAGATTTTATAAAGTAAAGAGAGAAAATATGCATTCTAATATGCTGCAGCTTGATGCTTTAGTTGCTTACTTCCTCACCCTGACTTACTGCAAAGGGCTTAAAGCCAGTGACTGCAGAGGCTGCAACCCAGAAGCATGCCCATGCACCATGAAGAATGGAAAATCCCAAGCAGTGTAGACATGCAACCAGGAGCTACTCTGAAAAGCTCACCTTGATGGGCTCTGAACACAGACACCTCCCTTAACCTATCCAAATCTTATTTTTCACTTCAAATAGTGTAGCTTATTATTCTCTTGTCTCCCAAATGTTTTATGAGCCCCCCCCCCCCCAATTTTTTTACTCCATTTTAAATTTCTTCCACCAGCCAGATCAAATTTCAGTAACGTGTAACTTGGCTAAAAATCCATGCTGTGTAGACAAGTTGTTGGTTTTTTTTCTTTCCTATTGTCCTTACATCCTTAGACATACATAAATCAAAAAAAGAAATAATCAAAGCTGTGTGAAAGTAACACAAATGCATGTTAAGTACCCAATTATCTTTTACTTGAAAGCACAGGAAGAAATGTCCCTTATGATGAGACTTCAATTTACCATCCTTGACAATTTTAGAATTCTTAACACTTCCTGCTGAAATGACGCTGAAAGAAAGGGTATAAATTTCTTGGATACCTTCCTGTTTTTTGTATGTTCATATGTTGTTTTAAAAGATGACCTCTAGTAAGAGCATTTTTTTTCTCCAAAATACTGCATGTGTTATGAATGTACAACTTAACTTAAATAGTTACTAGTTCTAGTGAAATAAAAATAAATAACTGAAACACTTGGTTTACCTGTTTTCCATTAATACAACTACCCTCTTTGCCTTGCAATCAGCAGGATTTGAAATGCTCATTCATTATCTTAGATTTCAACACAGGTGGTAATAACTGGCATAAAGCAGTAAAACCTGTTTTTCTTTCCTGAAATAGTATCTATCAATGGGTAACCTGTAAAAGATCCATTGGTTTGGCTCAGCATTAATGGAGCAACCACTCTCCATCCCATCTACTTCAAATTGTTTATACAGCCAAAAAATATTTTCATTCTGGGCACTGGGAAGGCTGATGAGGAAAGTAAATGGAGTAATAATACAATATATGCAAAAGGAAGAGCAAGTTAGTTTTGAATAAATAAAAGAACCTGTTTTCACTTATGAAGGATTAGAGCTGCTGAACTTCCAGAAATTATCTGCACTACACACTGGTATGTAATGGGAGTTTTTTCTTTCCCGCTAGTATAGAAAACTTATTTCCGTCTCTGCCCAGGTAGGCACTGGGGAAAACGATACTCGATCACACTGGACTGCCTTTAGGGAGATCGCCTTTTTGTTTGGTTTTGGGGTGGTGTTTTTGGGGTTTTTTTTCCTAATGTTAGAAACTCATTGTATATTCCTGCCTTTACTTGTAGGTAATTTTGATTGGGTAGGAAATGCTTTTACGCAGAATGCTGGAGCTGGCCTTGTTATCAACCAAGCAGACGCGGGGAACAGCACAAGCATCATTAAGCAACTCAAGGCTGTTTTTGAAAGGGACTGGTATTCACATTATGCCAAAAGTTTACAGCCAACAAAAATCCCAAACTGCTTTAATCACAAACTTAATAAAGCAACATCAAATAAGACTGCCATGAGCAATGTGAATTAGAAAGACTATTTTACTGTTTAGTATGGCAATGAAGAATTACGTTGGGGTGTAGCTCTCTTTCATATTTACAGACAAAAGACTTAAAGAAAAAGCAAAAAAACCCGTTTGGTTTGGGGGGGTGTTTTTAGGAAAAAGCACACTTATATAAAAACTGTCTAACTATATTCTCTATATTGAATTATTTAAGACTTTCAAGTTTGCTACTTCTGACACTGAATGTCATTTCTGCTTCCATGTTAATTTTAACGTTCTGTGTTTGAATTTAACAGCATGTGTCAATTTTTCTGTTTCAGTTTTAGGACTTCCCTTAATTGCCATCCTGGCTAGAATGAACCTTGAGGCAAAACCAAGATTCAAGCTATGAAATGGCATTCTAAGATCAGTTATTATTGACATACAAGTAGATGGTAGGTTTACTGTATTAGAAAACATAAAGGAATAAGCAAACTTTCACACATATAAATCTTTCCCTTTAAATAAATACCCAGTCATGCAAATACTTCCTAGTTTTGAGCATTCAGTTTGAGTATCACTCTTCCATTTCTTCTAACTAGCCTTAAAATACATCAGTTACATGACTGATAATTTATTCATCTCCTAAAAGTATCAGAAGGTTTTGAGGGATTGGGGTTGACCTCAAATTTGTCATAATCTTTAAAGCCTCTCAGATAAATGGATTTTTTTTATCAAAATAATGTGGATTCCTTTCAACATAATAGTTATTTCCAATTATACATGTTTCATCTAACAATGAAAATCTTTGGATTAATAGCAAAGGCCTAGGACTGATTTTTCTTCCTTTTTTTTTTTTTTTTGTAATCTCAAGAAAATTTCGTCCCCAAGTTAAATATTTATCAAGTGCAAGTCAGCAGTTGCATGATGACTCACTATCAAACCAATGCATACGTAAAAATCAAATACTGCTCTTTAGCAAGATCAAGGGTCATGCAAAATCATGCAATAATTGTTGTTAAATGATCATGTAGTCATTTTCTTTGATTAACACCTGGAAGTGTTTTCTTTCCTAACTTTCATTTTAAAAAAAAAAAAGTGAAATGGCATTTTTTGTTAAAATGTCATCCATATAGGCGACTACATCAGCACAAACAGAAATATGATGCCTTCATTTAGGCCACAGTTTCAGTTGGTGTTAATAGCGTGCCTCTAAAAACACAACTCAGTTGCACCAAGAAGCAACTGTTCTGTAAAAGTGTGACTTTGCTCTTTAAAAAAATACATATAAATGTTTGACGACAGATTTTTCTCCAGAGCTGTAATAGCTTAGTTTCATAATAAAAATGTTTCATTACTATCCCTCTGCTTCTGTTGAAGAAATACAGCCATGAAAGCAAACTGTGCTCTGCATTTCGTTAAATATTCACAGAACTTTTTCCAAAATGCAGACTTTTCTCACCTGGCTGTATGTTACTGAAGGCACACTTCGAAAGCAGTGGACAAAAAGGGAAGGAAAACCAGTCATGTCCCAATGTACTATTTTAATCTTAAGAACAAGTTAAAAACCCACCTTGACTTTCAAAACACAGGTTTCATTTAGAAGGTTAAAAAAAAAGTTCAAATTTATTTTAAAGTAAGCACAGCTGAGGAAATTCTAATAAGGTAACATGCACAACTTCAAACTGCCAGCTAGAGACACACCACAAAACTAGTTATGACTGCAAAAGACACACTTTTGACAATGAATGTTTGTTTCTTTTGCAATTGCCAAGATTTACATCATCTTACTGAAAATGACATAACAAATTTTTAAAGTTATCAACTTTTACAGAAAGGATTCTGCACAGCTCTAATGCTGATTAACATTTTCTATTATTCAGATAAATACATGCCATTTATTAGCCTACACACACACAGAGAGAAAAGCATATATTCTGACATTCATATAGGAAACATATCTAAAAAGAGTTTCCTGAGTTGCTATGAAGGAAAAAGATCTTTGTGAAGAGAAATTTCTGTATTTTCTTCCTTCTGTATATAATTTAGAATATGTATAGCAAGTACGGGAGAGAGATCCCCAGCACTTAATTTACTTGTTGGGGTTTTTTTGTTTTGTTTAAGAAATAAATACTAGCCCAGATTAATTTCTGGTGAAAAATTCAGCCAAGTTATACCACCGATGAATTTAGTGTTATGAATCAAAGCTAAAAAAAACCGAAACCAACCAAACAAAAAACCCCCACATTTTTAAAAGCTGATTGAGATATCTGTAAAGCTTCTGAGGTCCCCACAGATGGGTGATCTTAAAGCTTGAGATAAACTTAATACCAAGTCCTTACATAAGATACAAAAACCCCAAGCAAACAAAAAAACCCCACTGTCCAGAGTTGTTAATTGTTGTAGCACCTGATGGCAATAATATACAAGAATGAATCAATGTGATTTTTTTTCCCTCTGAATACTAGAAACATGTGAAGAGTTTTTTAAATGACATCTTGTACAAATAATGGAGGATCTGAGTGGAACAGAAATTTGTCAGATGATAGAGCTAAGCTGTCTGTTTACAAAGCAGGATTTAGTGACGAAATCAGACTGTGGAGTTACCACTGACCTTCCATTTAGTATACCAAATGAATGATGCAGATGTAGTAGTTTTACTGGACAAATCCTAGGGAAATACAATCATGAATATTAACCAGATCCATTAGTTTACAAATGCATTCTTACTGGCTTGATAAACAAATTCTGGTGCTTCAGTGACCCCCCCCCAAAAAAAGAGCTGATATGTAAAAGTACATTTTAAAAGTGGCAGTATGTTCTGTTTTTATGAATGGAAGAGTTTGGGGTTTTTCTGAACAACTTTTAATGCAAAATAGCAACCAGCCATCCTACAAACAGACTGGCAGACTTGAGTTTCATTTGGTATAAAGTATGGACTGATATTTTAGTAACTGTTTAGAATGGCAGCAGCTCCAAAGTAGTACAGAAGGCTTTGGTCTGTTACATTCACCAAAAGACAAAGTGCATCCTTGGACTTCAGCAAGCAGGAAATTAAAAATACCAGATTCTTTTTTGAGGCTGTTTAAGGCAATTATACCCAATTATTTGTTTTGGGTTTGCACTGTTCCTGTTTAACTACATTTGCCACAGCAGCCTCGATTCTGGCTTCAGATCCTTCTACCAATGTAAATAAATCTGGAGCAAATCCATTACAGTGATTTCACGTTGGTTTAGCAGGGATCAGAATCTAGACCAGTTTCATCTTCCTTTAGCTCTCCTGAGTATCACCATTGCACAAGCTATTTCCAAACTTAAGAGGGATTTGCATTCAGTGGTTTCTCACAGACCTCACAGGCATAATCCAAAAGATGCACTTTATCTAAGCCCCTTCTAACTGGCATTGGTAACTCTGTCATATTAAAGGCAATTTCCTAAACAGAACGGCTTTATTCTTAAAGAATATAGACTGTAATTGTTGTTTGCTGCAAACATTTACTAGTGCCTTATTCATACAAGCTTTTGTTTAACTGTTCCTCATGTGAAGTCCTGCTAAAGATCTTGTATCTAGTACTGAGGCATACAGTGAACTTCCTAAGTAAGACTACATATTGTGATGTTTACAGGTTAGTACCTAAAACTAGAGTCACAAAAAGACAAAAAATGAATGAAAGATGTTGGTCCAAACCAAAAGCACATCTAATGCTGAGCATTTTTAGCCAAGCCCAGTTCTAGAACTAAATTTCACAAATTATTCCTGTCTTCATTATCAACTAATCCACAACATAGCTGAATTATTGTGTCCTGCCAAGGTGTAAAAATAAATAAAATCTGAATTCCCCCAACACCTGGCTGATATCAAAAGCATAACCACAAAAATTCCTGTAGGCACAGGGTGAAGAACACAACACCGTGGCCACTTTACAAATCTCACATGTAAGTCTCAAGCTGCTTTGGGCCAGCTACCACTTTTTTCTGCCTGAAGCATGAACTAGTATCCACAACTACTCTCACCTTCTCTTTGAAGACCAGAAAAGCATGGATTGTGTGCCACAGCACAACAACCACAGCTGTACCCTGACAGGAACTAAATTTTTGTCCAGTTTTTTCCTGCTCACCTTCTTAAAAAACAAAAAAATAAAAATGCATCTTTGAACTGACTTTGAGGCTGTGCTGTACAAAGTTTTACACAATACAGGGCCAAGTGTTCCTTCTGGTAAATCCAGGCTCTGCAGGTCGTTCAGAGGAGAGTTTGCTAAACCAGTAAAAAAAGCCTCAGAATGCTACTTTTAAGACATACCCATTATTTGCTATACTACTAGCTACCTAAATTCTGCTACTTTGTTGAGTTTTGCATACATAAAAACTGAACAACTAATCTTTGTGTGAACGTTACCTGCCATTTAACCCTAATCTAAGGAGAAATCCAGACAAAGAATTTATAGGGGTTTTTTGTGACTTTAGTGTGTACTTACTGAAAATAGCACAGACTTTCTCATCAAGATGGTAAAGACATCAGCTGGCTATTCCAGTTCTTCAAACTGAAGTCCTTTATAAATATCCCCATCTTGAATATCATGCACTTGACTCCTGAGGATGGCCTTATAGAGCATGCTAAGTTATCTTAAAACCATTTTAGACTTCAACATTAACTCTTCATTTTAATACAAAAATACTGGCTACATGTATAGTATGTTTCCAGATGGTAATTTCTGGCACTGTGGTTTTTCTTCCACTCTTATCCTTTCTCTACATATATATTCATGGCTTTTTAATCACTGTTAATCCAACTCAATCTATGTATAAATCAGAATGAATCCTTGGTATATTTAAAATTCACAACGATACCTCCTGAGTTGAAGGCACCAGTAAACATATTCCACTTTTGACACTGCAGAGTATAGTAGCTCAACTGATACTGTAGGGTGATTGCTTTTCTTAGCTGTAGTTTTTCTCTTTAATTACTGCTGGATGTTATTTATGAATTTCTCAGTGTTGAATCAGGTTGCTCTTGCATCATCACTTTGCACAAATGCCTTAGAAGCTTGCCAAACTAGCATGTAAAAGAGACCTTGTTCAAAATAGTTTAGACAAGAAAAGAACTCATGTGCTTTACACTCTGTGGATGCTGAAGTCAT